GATCCAGTCATAGCTTTCAGTGATGTGCATAAGAATATCAGGATTCAATTAACTTGTTTTATTTTAGTGCTCCAATTAGATCTTGGACCTTGTTTTCAACACTGCAGCGATGTTCAATCTCTGCACATGTACTTCATAAGAATCTCTCATACACAGTCAATTATACCTACATGATTCGCTCTATAGGGTTCAGAAAGACCCTCCATTACAAGTAATTAGCCAGGGGAAGCTCTTAATTATTTAGCAGCAAAAATCACAAGAATAATAAACAATTGTAAAATGAAAGTGAAGGGCTTTTCATGTAAATGACTTAAAAGGTTAATACATCCTATGTTAAATTTCATGTCGAATCTTTTTCTGCATATTCACATGATAAGAATGGGACCGAAAGTAATGTTTAAGCAGCCAATCCAGTTCGAGTTTACTGTCAGTTCGTTTAACGTTAGCTGTGACTCAATCAGGAACATTTATGCCTAAAAAGATGTGTTTAAGGAAGAGTCAACAGTTTGTGTTGCACTCCCTCTCTCCTGCCTCATTTTCTGTTTCTCCTTCTCCCTCCCCCTCCACGTTGTTACACTCTCGGTAGTTTGTTTGCCCTCTTTCTGCCTGCTCAGTTTGTGTTGCTCTTCACCTATCCTCAATTTGTGCATGTCTCTGTCTTGTCCTTGAAGTTTGTGTTGAGCTTTCTCCCCTGACGTGTTTTGTGTTACACACTCTCCCTCCTCAGTTTGTGTTGCTCTCTCTCTCTGCCTTGAGAGCTAATGGAATGTCATTCTTTGTTGCAAGAAGATTTGAACAAAAGAAAGGAAGATATTACGCATCAGTTATACTGAGTAGTGTGTGCAAGTTTGACCTCTTCATTTAAGGAAGGGTGCAAATGGATTTGGTTCAGAGAAAGTTCAGTGGGCTGATAACTGAAATGAGTGGGTTGTCTTAAGAGGATATGCTGGACAGATCAGAATTGTGTCCGCTGGAGCTTAGAAGAGTTGATTGAAGAGTTGTTTAACTTGATTGAGGTGTATAAGAACCTCAACGGTCTCAACAAGGTGGATGTAGAAAGGTTGTTTGCTCGTGTGGGTAAGCCCAGTACTAGGGGGCACTGTTTAAAAATTAGCAGTCACTCTTCTTTGGGCAGAGATGACAATATTGTTTTTTCCCTCAGAGGGTTGTTTGACTTTGGAGTTTCTGTCTCAGAAGGTGATGGAAATGTGATCATTGATTATTTTTAAGGAGGACGTAGATAAATCCTTGTTAGGCAATGGAATCAAAGGTTATGTGAGAATGTGGAATGCAAAATGCAAACAGATCAACTAAAGTTTTATTGAAGATTAGGCTTGAGGAACTAAATGGTCTATTTCTGTTCCTTTTTATAATGTGGTACTTTTGTAAGTTCGAATTGCATTCTTTCTCTTCCTTCTCTTTCTCTCTCCTCCTTCCTCCAGTTTTTGTGGTTTATATCTTTCTTTAGCTGCTCTGTCAGGATTTGCAGAGCTTCCAAATCATTGTTTTGATTGACCATTGTAAATAGTTGGCTTCTTGGAGTTAAGGTTTCCATTAATGTTTATAAAGATCCAATGCCAATGTAATAAAGAATCTCCATTATAATCTTCTTTCAGTCCGTGAGCGCGAATTGACCATCTCATTGAGCAGTAGTGAGATCCCAACAGTGCCCAGTCAACCTGACTGGTTTGTGAGCCACAATAGCTATGTTACTGCTCATGGATGAACAACACATATGAGGACAATTCCCCCCCTTACTCACAGCAGATGAGTTCTGATGGTAATCACCCTTTCCAGTAGGTCACCACGCAAAGTGGAAATCACCCAATGAACAATATTGGGTGTGCTTCAGACCTAACAGTTCAGGTGTTGGGATACGCACCCTCACACCCAACACCACCCTTGTCCCTCCCAACTGATGAGTCCAAAAGCAACCTGAAATGTTTAAATAATTTAATAGAATTAACTTAATAGGCTAATGGGCCAAAACACTGTTTGAAGTCAAATTACAACATAAAAGGAGTTCTAATCTGCTCAGTCTACTATATCCAGCTGTTAGAAAAAGCAACCCACTTATTCCTGGTTTCCTGTCTTTTCACAGATTCTTTTACATTTTTCTATTCCAAATATTTATCCAAATTGCTTCCAAATGCCACTATGGATTCTGCTCTGCAGGACCGATTTCTCCCAAGATTACGTTGGCCTTCAGTGAAGCTTATTAACCAGTCCACATATAGAGTCTGATCCCATGGCAGATTTTGAGAGGGCTGATTTTGTGAATGGCAGTGCTGGTGGGAACATTTCCCTGCATGATATAAATATTGGGACATCATAGGGTCAGATTTAACCATTATCACACACTGAGTGACACTAACAAGGCTGCACATGTTTAGTGGCACTGCAGAGTTTGGAAATGGACTTTGTTTACATCATGATGTTAGGTGGGCAATCCCATCGATGGAGGGTTGGCAATGCTTGCTGTCAGGTTTGGTATGAAAGCCTATGGCAGTGGACTAGCAACTCAGTGTTATCTGTTTAATTTTCAACATTTTCAGTTATTGTATTTCTTAAAATCTGACTTGCCACACTTCTCTTGTGTAAAGACCGTATCTATTTCTTCTCTTGTACATTTTCAATTGTGGACTGAAAAGAGAAAATTACTGTGTTAGAAAAGCAGGGATTGCTGGAAGATTGATGTATGTTTTGAAAACATTGCACTCATTGCAAACATTGTTTTCACAACGTTTGAAGTGTGTTTGCAGATGAACTGGAGCAAGGAGCTATGTATAGATAGAGATTTGATTGGTACAAATAGCTGACTGGTCTACGGACTAGTGACCAGTTTTTGATATCAAAGGTTTTCTGTTGACAACAACTATGTGCTTGGTTCTTAGGGGCCTAAACATCTAGGGATTATGACCAAAATATAGAAAAGTCATCAGATCCCCACCAGCATTAGGAACTCTCTGTGTTCTCTGCAGTAAAAAAAACTTTAAACCTGAAGAAAGCCAATTTATTTTTTGTTCATCATTTTCTGTAAGTGGTGGCTTTTAACTGATAAGTTGAGATCTTTTACAAGTGAACTAGCCACCCTATTCTTGTTGGAAACTAATGGAAACATCAAAGAAGCGCAATTGAAATGCAGCATTCTGACCAAGAAAAGAATAACCTAAGCCACCCTGGGGAATAGGAACCACTGACCTGCTTTCCCAGTCTTTCCCTTCATCAATAACACCATGTTTTCCTGTCTATGTTTTCCTACATGGGTGTGTATAAAATTAGTAGAGTTATGTGCTGACAGTTCTTAATTGTTTATCTAGCTAGAATTGAATTATTTGTAATAAATAGTATAATGCTTTCTGTTAAACTGGGTTTGAAAGTCAGATAAAATAGGAAATCTATGTGATCTTCTTAAAATCTTTGTGATGACTCTGGGAATAGTGGAGCTTGATTTCCAACATGCTACCAAGTGAGGCATGACACATGTCTGGGCTTCCTGTGACTCCAGACACACAATGTGAAGTGGCAAGTGGATAGATGGCTGAGGTGGCTATGTCAGGGATACACAGGGCAAGTAAGAGGATTGGGGGCAGTCAAGCAGGGGTGGAGGGTAGGCCGGATGAGTGGAATCAGGAGTCTAGTTGGGTGTTATGTGGTGGTGGAGGGTTGGTCAGGTCAGGAGGGCAGTTGACTGCTGAGGTAATCGTAAGGTAGGGGAATATTTGGGGTGTGGTCATGCACTTAGGGGGGAATTGGACATTTGAGGGGAATTTAGGATTCAGGGCCAGCCCGAGGACTTGAGGAGTGGTTGGGGTAGTTACAGTGGTCCAGTGAAGAGTTGGGGCCAGTTGTATAGTTGCACAAGAGTTAGAAATTAGTTTTATTTGTCTGGTATTTCCTGGGTGACTATCCAAGTAAGCCAGACACAGTCCTGCGATAGTGGTGGGGCATTTCAAGACGAGTGGGCATATTTTTAAGGTGAAAGGAGAAAGATTTTTTCAGAGCTGTGAGGGGCAACTTTTTTTACACAGAGAGTGGTTTGTGTGTGGAATGAACTTGCAGAGGAAGTGGTAGATGGGAGTACAGTTACAACATTTGAAAGAAATTTGGATAAGTGCATGAATAAGAAATGTTAGGAGGGACTTGGGCCAGGAGCAGGCAAGTAGGACTAGTTTAGTTTGGGATCATGTTTGGCATGGACTGATTTGGACCAAAGAGTTAGTTTTCGTGTTGTATGACTCTATGACTATGGCTTTATACTGTCAAGGCTTCTAGTTGTAATATTGTGCAAAAATCCCCAGTATTGAAACATATGGGCAGGACCTTGGACAGTGGACAGAGCCCTGGACTTTCAAATAAAACATTTACAACAACGTGCTAAGCCTGCAAGGAATAAAGAAAACCACCAGCAGACCTGAGAATATTGTTCAGCTCACATTTCAAATCACAACTCCTCTGTGAAACAAGTGATCCAAAACCAAAAGAACCTAGCTCTGAGATGGATTTTACACCTCTGGCTACATTGCTTGGATAGTGTGGAACGTAGAGAGTACTGCGAGACGTCTGGGCATCTAACATCAGTTGACAAAGACCATTTACACCTTGTCTAACAATTGGAGTCAAATTAACCCCAAAGAGAACATTAAGTGAACAAGGAGATTACAGATTTGGCGTCTAGATAGTGGGACCCACAGTCAGTATAACTGTCAGCTCCAATCTCACCTGAGGTTCTTCTGAATCAAGACCCAACAGAAGCTGAATCGGGGAACCAACCAAGAGATCTGCAACAGAACAGGCCGAACCAGCTTCTGAACACGGGCCTTTCTGAACCAAGAACACCAACAGCAAGAACCTCAACGACCGAGCAAAACCGTCAGAACCAAAGACCAACAACTCGAAGCAACAACTGACTCAACCAATGCCACAAGTCCTCAGACACAACCTGAGGTGACAACCAGGCTCACAAACCAGCAAAAAGTAAAATAAAACCAGGTACTTACCAGATAGATCCAATCTGCACCTAACCTCATCAGCACACATAACCCAACTGTAAAAGGTCACGCAGCTCGAAGTCCTCAGTCATGTTCCGGGTACGGCAAGCCAGAACAGTCAGGCCAATTTCAAAACCGCATTCTGAGTGCTGAGCAGACATCCCGAAACCCCAAAGTTCCTACATAAGCGGTGGGTGGTGTCAGTGCATTGGGACTCGACTAGTAGGAATTCTGATTCTTACTGGATTTAAACACTGGTGTCTTTTCTGTGTAATAGTAAATATTTGTGACTCTAATAGTGGTAATTTAATTACTAGTACATTTTAAAGTACGACTGTTTCCTGAATATTAATTGACTTATTGAATTACCTATTTTCTTGTATTGTTATTACAAATAAACAGATTTTTTTTGCCCTTAAACATGTGTCCGCTGTCTCTTCATTAAATGCTGAGTAAAAAGTCCAGTGTCCAGAACCAGGGGCTGGGAGCGATTCGAAGGTCAGAAATATAACTGACTACAAACCAAACCCCTACATAATGAACATCTTAGACAAGAGCAAGGTCATCAGGAACTATGGAGTGAACACAACTTAATGCAAAGTAATCTCCTGTTCCTTGTCAAAATATATTTTGATGACTTGGTTATGCTTTTTTCAAATTATTTTCCACCCATTAAAATGAATAGGCAGAAAATCATGGGCGATGTAAGCTTTCTGTCATACTGGTATGCCGCCTGATGCTGAATACTTCTATAGGAGCACAATTTTGCAAAATTACCTGTCTCACACCAACTTAGTTCAATTGTTAGTGCTGTCACGTTTGTGCCATTCAAAGATTTGAAGATATAATCGAGGTTGACATTTCAATGCAGTAGGTCAGGCGACATCTGTACAGAAACAGAAGTCAGTCAACATTTCAGGACTTAAAACCTTTCTCAGGACTGGATGACGTTATAGACGGTACAGCCTCAGAGAGGAGCACAAAAAGGAAACGGGAAGAGAATAAGCACGCACAAACACATATGCCACATGCACATAAGTACACACAGAAAGAAATCAAATAATCTGTGGATTGTTTGCATAAAGATCAGATGATTAAAAAGTACAAATTATATCAACCAAAGACAAAAGGGGCCATAGGGAAATAAATAACGTCACTGAGCATCAGAAGAGATCCTGGGAACAGCTACCAGAAAACTGGCACCAACACAGCATTGCAAGAATTCTGAGCAGTGGTGAAACCAAAAAGGACAGGAATGAATAAAAATGTGATGTTGCAATTCCAGGAAGAGCGGACAAGTGAGTTAATTTTAAGATTTGTTCATGGGATGTGAGTACCACTGGCAAGGCTGGCTTTCATTGCCCTTGAGACGGTAATAGTGGACTGCTTTCTTGAGTCACTACTGCCCATGAGGTGAAGTTACACCTACAGTACTACTAGAAGGATGTTCAGGATTTTGACCCAGTAATGATTTATATGTTAGGGTGATGTGGAATTTGTCTGGAATCATTTTCAGGTGGTGGTGGTGGTTCCTTCATGGTTCCTTCTTCCCTTCTCCTTCTCAGTGGAGGAGGTTGCAGATTTGGATGGTGCCTCTGGTGAAGGCTTGGTGAGTTCCAGCAGTGCATCCTTTAATTGGTAGACCACTGCTACCAGTAGGGACTAGTGGTGTAGAGGGTGAATACTTAAGGTGGTGGATAGGGCACCAGTCAAGTGGCTGCTTTATCCTGGATGGTGTTGAGTTTCCTAAGTGTCGTTGAGATACACTATCCAGACAAGTGGGTAGTATTGCATTCTCATTTCTGAGGAGGAGAGTTACTTGAGCAGAATTCTTAGATTCTGACCTAGTCTTGTTGTCACGGTATTTATATGTCTGGCTCAGTTAAATTTCTGATCAGCGGTGGCCCCAAGGATTTTGATGACAATTATATTGAATATCAAAGGGAAGTGAATAGACTGTCTTGTTATTTCCAGACATTTTTGTGGTGCAAATGTTACTTGCCAATTACCAAAACAAGCTGGAATGATGTCCAAGTATTATTGTATAAGAGCATAGACAACTTCAGCATCTGAACAGTTGTGAGCAGAACTGAGCACTGTGCAAAAATCAATGAATGGCTGCATTCCTGACTTGATGATGGAGGGAAGGACATTAATGAAGCAACTGAAAACGTGTGAGCCTAGGGTATTGTGTTGTACAAGGATGTTCCTGGTGCTGAGATGATTGGTTTTGCTGGTTGCAAGTCATTTTTTTTTGTGGTGGGTATGACTCCAGCCAGAAAGAGTTCTCCCCTGGCTCCATTGATTCTAGTTTTACTAGGGCTTCTTAATGTCACACTGTTAAATGCTGTCATGATATCAAGGGCAGTCACTGTTACCTCCTCTCTGGAATTCCACGTTTTTGTCCATATTTAGACCAAGGCTGTAATAAGGTAAGGAATTGAGTGGCCCTGATGGAACCAAAACTGAATTTCAGTAAGCAGATTATTGGTTTTTAAAAAAATACTGTTTAGTAGCATTGACAATATCCCTTCAATTCCTTTGCTAATGATTGAGAGTGGACTTATGAAGTGGTGCTAGGCTGGATGGGATTTTCCATGCTTTTTCTGGACAGAATGTACTGGGTCATTTTCCATACTGCTGGATAAGTTGCAATGTTGTAGTTGTACTGGTATTAACTGACACTTTTTCCTCTAAACTCAATCAACACAAGCCTCCTAAAAATGAGCAGAAAATGCTGCAAATACTCAATAGGTCAAGCACAGTTGCAAACTAAGGAACTGAGTTATTTTTCAGCTTTGTGATACTTCATTATAACTGGAAAATAATAGTGATTTTAAGAGGTTTTAAACAAGTCCAGATGGAGGGATGGATAGGGGAGGAGAAGAAATACCAGAAGGGAAGCTCCCTCATAGGTGGAAAACAGGGTAGATTTAAATGACTAACAAGATGTTGCAGCAAGGCAAAAGGATGTGATAATGGAACAAACAATGAAAAGAAAGAATGTTCTAGAGGAGCAGGATCACTGTATTCAAAAAAACAGAGCAGTTCCTATGATCAGAAATTGTTGAACCAAAATGTTCAGTTGTAAGTGATAGATAAGATGCTGCTTCTTGAGTTACCACTGAACTTAATTGGAACAGTGTATGAAGGTTGGGGCAAAGACGTTAGCGTAATGTTAAGAATGACGTACAATTTTAAGTTCCAATTATATTTTGCATTTTGTGTATTAAGAAGGGGAAGTCATTTTTAGAGTTTCATTGGGGAGCTCAGGTTCTGGTGAAGAGAAGTCTGGAGAACTGTTTTCTTTACAGGCATTTTAATGAGGTTTTATAACTTTGACTTGACTCTGGAGCTGAACAGTTCTGGGCATGAAACAAATCTATACTTTTACCCTAACAGGAGTCCAGTGAGACAGGGACAGAACAATCCAGAAAGTCGATCAGCCATGATGGACATGGGGTTTAAGGAACTCATATAGTTGCTGTGAGACTAAAGTAATCATGAGTTAAGTTTTCAGTTTGTTCTAGATATTGGGATACTAGGTAAAGGGAAAAGGCATCTAATGACTGCACAAACAGTTACTGAAAAGAAACTGGCTGTAGCTGTACCAGCCTGAATCAGATCAAGAAGTTTGGAAATAAAAGTAACTCTTCGTAGAGGTTTTGATGTTTGTTGGAATATTCGTGTGTTAAAGCTGTAGCATGAACTTGAATCCTTTTCTGAACATTTTAATAAAATCTTTCCAACTTTTCATTTCTCTGGTGCCATATAGTTCATGTTTTGTATCCTTGCTAATGAATGTTTTATTCTTTGTCCTTAAAGTACACTTGCAGCTTCCTGTCAATCTAGCCAGTAAGTGACGTTCATGGTTTTAAAACAAAAAATGTTTGGATCTAACGAGCCAAATTTCACTCTGGCATCTGAATTGTCCAGTATTAACATGAGCTGGGATCGTAATATGATACAGGCTCTGTAGGAGTGGAATTCCTCAAAATTTTCAAGGTGCCTCTTTAAAGGAATTGTTATGTGGAGGGACTGGGTGAGGAAATAGAAGAGTTGCTGTAGAATTTCAAAGTGGCTTTGATTGTTGCTAAGACTCTTTATGGGAGTAGAAAATGTAACCGTGGATTTTTTTCAATATCTTTGACTAGGGCAAAACCGAGAGCATTAGCCAATAACTTATGAGGTCAAGAAAGAAACAGAATATTGTAAGAATGCTATGATTAAACTGATTGCCCAGCATTTAGATTTAAAGGGAGAGAAACCTGAAATGAATGTATCATGGCTGGATTTAGCTACAAATGATAAGCCTGGGAGTGGAGGGAAAAGAAGCAGGAAGAGAATTGAAAAATTTGAGTCAGAGGACAAAAAATCAGAAGATGATAAAGAAAAGAAAAAACAGAGTATAGGGTCGAAAGATATTTCACTTCATTTGAGCACACACACACATTCTCACCAACACACAGAGAGAGACAGACAAAGACAGACAGACACAGAGAGAGAGAAAGAGACACAGACAGACAGACAGAGAGACAGAGACACAGAGAGAGGCAGAGAGACAGAGGGAGGGAGGGGAGGTGGGGGTGGGGGGGGGGGGGGGGAGAGAGAGGGGGAGAGAGGGGGAGAGAGAGAGACAGCAACCGGCCACTTCCGCGCCAGCCCTTAGAACAAGGTGACCCTCTGACTCCTGTTTATATCTCTTAGCCAGGGCTCCCTGTTTGGCCCAGATTAACAATCCCAATCAGGGAGCTCATACAATCACTACAGTTAGATTTTCTTCATAGGTACAACCATAAATGCATATGTCAGTCTATCAGATGAGCAGTCCAAAGACTATGAAGCTGTTAAATGGGTAATACTCAATGCTGATGAGCTTGTTGTTGAAGCCAATCACTTAAAAATTTTAATGATATATGAATGAAACCTATTTAGACAACTGTAGAATTTGCAAGAGTAAAATAAACGTTATGGGGAGAGTGGTTTTGATCACTGGGGTGAGAAAAAAATGAGATTGTGAAGGAAGTCATGATTTATGGAAAAATTCTGAAATAATATTCCAATGACCCTCACGACTTATTAAGATTTGTATTCTGGAGTATCCCAAAAATATTTCACATACAAAAGATGTGCGGCTTAGGTGGATTGTAGATGCTAAATTGCCCATAGTGTCCAG